AATTTGACCTATCAAACCATCATCTTATTCATTAGTTAATGTATTAATGATTCAAAATTTACTCACCAAGCTACATGAACAGATTTCTGAAATTCCAAAGAAATTTTAATGCTAATTTGCTTAGTCATATACTGATAAACACACAAAAACATGTATATTATTAAATTAATCAATATTGTTTGTCACAACATCACATATAATAGAACAAAAAATCATCTGCATAAGCTCCTACAACTAAAGAAATCCAACAGAAATTATTCAACGTTAAAACCCTTAAGGGCCTGCCTGGGAATTTTGTGGTACCTGTTATGGGGTTTTTAAAGTACCTGTTTAGGTGTATGTGAGGGGTCCAATTTTCGTGGGTTTTAATTCGGTTTGTAAAACAGTCAAATACATGCTTGAGAGACTATTATATAGCGGTTCTAAAATTACATATATACACATGTATAAAAAAGGTAGATACGTGTAAACAATATGAAGTAATGTGTATGTCACTCCTTACAATTTAATATGACTTTACACAGTGTACCCGATCATTTCATATTGTGTATGGACTAACCTATGGACTTATTATTGTTGCTTTGAATAAACTCTTGCATGCCAATCATTTTCTATTGGATTATAAGATGAAGTAAAACGAATATATTATTTGAAAAGGAATTTCTTTTCTTTTTGTCTAGGCTACACTCCTTTTTAGGTAGCCTTGAATATAATTATATTAGAGGAAAGTAGAAAGAAATTTTGAAAAACAGCCTGAAACCACTGATTTGGTGGGTTGAGATGCACAATCCAAATTACACTACATCCAAAAAACTAAAAAATAGTGGTTTTTACCTCACATAGACAGTTCCACCCAAAAAAAAGTCAAAACTGGCAAGCATGCCTTAATAATCCGTAGAATAGCAACTAGCAGATACCTAAATTCAACCCCATTATCTCATTCCTTAATACACAATCACGAATTATTGTCGTGATGAGGCAGCAGCAACTGAATGGAAGAAATGGAGGGAAAGAAGGCAAAGAACCAACTGTAACTAGCTTTCAGAAGTGGGGTCCACAACTAGCATTTAAGTGTCATTTTTCTTATTGCGTTTTTTGTAAATGGGAGCACGATTTCCATCCATTTTGTTTTTCAGCATATATGTACAGAACCGAGGAGAAAATGAACCAGTTGTTGATGTAAAATCAGTTCTATTAATCAATTCTCTCTCTTATTTCTTCAACTCCTTCTTATATCTTCTTTTTCTTCCTCTAATTCTATCATCACCCATTCTCAATTTAGTGGTTAATTCAACAATTGGGCTGAGATCTTAACTCGTTGAGCTGTGATTATTAAATTGGTACTGCTTTTGAGTGAATTCATTCCCAGGTTGAACTTCACTCATTACAATTATTTGACTTAAATCAGGATTAAATCCCATAAAAGATCACAAGGGAAGTCAAAACAATAGCAAATAAAAGAAATTGCATACAAACTAATCTAGACGCAAAACCACACACACGAAACATGTATGTTGTATATGTACGTACATATATGTAGAGAGAGAAAATACCTGAATAGGAGAGCATGGGTGAGATGTGATTCTCTCTATTTCCTTTTTCTCTTGAACGATTTTATTTCATGTGCTCTTTAATTTTCACGAAACACCCTCAAACTTCTCATAACTAAGTTTCTTACCCACATAGTTTGTTGTTTATTCTTTTGGCACCCTCGAGAACTTTTCATATTTACAAGAGGACCCCAATATTTCATAATATTTGATTTTCCTACACAGTTCTAAATGGAAAATTTAATGTAGTTCGAACAAGTTTATAAAGTATTTAGTTTATTATCGTATATTAAAATAGTATTCAGTCAACGTATAGAAGTCAATGTTTTTGTAACGATGTAGTGTAAGTATTTGACTATGATTAGAAATTTTGTTACATAATTCTGAATTGATAGACGTATCGATTTTGTACAAATTTAAAAAAATTTATATAATCGGCATACCTATATCAGAATAGAAGAAACAAGTAAAAATTGTTAAATAATATGCCTAACGTATCTTTGGAGCATGTTTAATGAATAGCTCACAATGAATCTCCTAACCTATTCTTGAAAACACAAGGTTTATGCACATCTTGGTTATTAATAAAAAAAACATGCATATTTGACCGAATAAAAAAATAAAATAAAAAAATATCACCTCTTTTGAGATAGTTTATAATAAAAGTCATAGATAGGCATAATTCAATATATTGCTAAATGCAAATTGGCAAAGCAAAGAATGACTTGATTTTGACCCCCTTCCACTTTCATTGTCAAGATTTATGTGGCCTCAACTGGAGTTATTAGCACAAGTTAAGATTTTACATTTATTAAAACGAAAAAAGAAAAAATAAATAAAAGGCTTGATTTCTCCCAATTCAACAATTAGCAAACTAAAGTGGCAGTTTTTTCACGTGAGTCCATTATTAAATTCTTACTTTAGAGCTTGTTTGCCTTTCATTATAATTTTCTAAAAATCAGTCAAATTTGAATTTTCATCACACATTTCGTAGAATCCACAATTAATACGCACATGTCCACCATTTATTTCTATCACATTATAATTTCAGCAATTCGTAATGAAATCCAAACAAGACCTTGATTCCAACTACTTTGTAGTGAATGATCGTTCACGCCCTGGTTGAGTTAGGTGTCTTTTACAAGGAGAGAGTATTGAAACCATATTCTAGAGGCTGGACAAATGAGTGAGCCAATTATCGGAAGTTTTATTTCAATCAAATTTTAATTGACAATCTTGAATTTCTTGATAGCTTCAATTGGGAAACAAGTCATAGATAGCGATCGAAAATAAATATATTTACTTTTGCTTCTTATTCGTAAACATGGCAAACAGGTTTATTAGAGAATAAAATGGTAAGGATGACAATTTTGAATTGGTTCAAAATTTCAAATGAGAAATTTTCTAGTGATCTTCACATTTTGAAAAATTAATTAGTGATCGATGCCAAACTATAGTGTCAACAATTAGGTGAAAACAAATATTAAGGTTCTCTCTTAGTAGAAGTTGATATATGTCATGTAGTTCGACGAGTTCAACTATAGGGGCTCATACGCTTGGCCCCCAAGGTAGGTCGTGATAATTAATTGCATCAAGTCTAACCTAATACAACATTTTTCAAGGGTCGAGCTAGGTTATGGGCCTTGAACCCTGGTCATGATGAGCGAGTTGAGAAATATAAAGGGAAAAATTCACAATTGAGACATTAACTATGCACTATTCAAAAATCAGGTATTTATTTATTAATTAAATATAATAAAATAAAATCACAATTATATAATTAATGGTCACATGTACATAATCATAGGTCACAANGTACATAATTATAGGTCACAACTTATTTATTGATCATGTATTAAATAATTAATTGGTCACATATTAATTCGAGATCACAAATCAAAAATTTTATAGGTCACATTTTATTTTATTAGTCACAGATAAAAAAAATTATAGGTAACAATTTATCACTCAGTCATATATTTTCAAATTTATTGGTAATAAATTATCGAATTTTGAGGTCACATTTTATTTTATTGGTCACAGATAAAAAATTATATGTCACAATTTATCAATTTATCAATCAGTCACGTATTTTCAAATTTGTTGGTCACAAATTATAGAATTTTAAAGTCACAGTTAAACATTTGGTCATAGGTAACAAAATAATGGGTCACATACGACCACTACCTACACTGTCGCCGCCACCGCTTACACACCACCACCACCACGACATCACCACCAACAAAATCACCGCCACCAGATCCGATCGACCGCTAACAAAAACCTTGACAATCAACTCTATCAGATCTCCAGTCACCAACAACCACCACCCCATCGCCACCACCAGATCCAACGCCAACCTCATAACCGCCGCCGCCACCACAACAACATCACCACCAACACCACAACATCACCACCAAAAAATTCGTCACCACTAGATCCAACAAAAAAATCCTAACCCCGCCACAACCTCCATCCCCATCGCCAACAACAACAAAGACATCACCACACCACAACCACCACCTACCACAAAACCCGCCACCACTTCCAACCCCGTTACCGCTGCCAGCTAAGCCACCACCCTACCAACAAAATCATCAAGTCCGCCACCACACAAAACAACATCCAACGATAAAAACCAAAAAAAGAAAAGAAATAAAACAGGGCCACAGGCAGCGATGTTCAACGCATCACCATCTCCAAGTCGTACCACCGCCGCTACCGCGACCATGGGCCTCAGAAAATCGTTGGAGAAACGCCACAAATCGGAGAAGATTCAGATCATCACCTCAGTACTTCCGCGCGCAGAGGCTCTGATCTTTTCATTAAACAGCACGATGTTGCTTAAGTGGTGGCAACGACGCGATTCCCGCGGCGGGTGCTCCAATGACAACGACGACGTCTGGCACAGGGGAAGGCATGAGAAGGAGATGAAGAAGATGGGAATGGAGTGTGAGAAGAATGAAATAAAATTAGAGTTTGTAATTAAATTGGGTGAAAATATTTTTAGCTCCTATTTGATGCACATTAAAATTGAAATAATGCATTTTTTTTTGTTGTGTGATGGGGAATATGTAGTTGAAAAAGAAGGAAAAGTTATTGATGTGATGAAAACTATTTTTTTATTGAAAAATGTGTGGTTGAAAATGAGTAAAAGAATAAAAATGAAAAAAATAATGTGGCTCAAACATGGGCTTAATATATAATTATTATGTAATACCTGATTTTTTTATTAAATAAAGTTTAGATCCGATTTTTGAATTTGTAGACTTAAATGCCTGATTTTATGTGATTTCCTCAAATTTAAAATAGCATCCAGATTGCTAATAATCATTGTGTTCTCAATAAACAAACAAAAAAATAAATTTTTAATACTGCAGCTCGGTGCTAACAATAATTTGAAAATACTTTTGTAATTCGAGTAACTTGAAATTCTGGCTTTCTCTTATTCTAAGAATTCCTCAACCTATATATTACAACAATAAGAGTAAATGTTACGTTATAAATAACTCACTTTTTCGACAAAAAACAAAAAAACCGGCTTGGCTCGTTCTTAGGACTGAGCTGGCTCGAATCAGCCTATGGCCACCCTCAGGCATAGAAAGTTGACCGGCAGAGACAATTATGCAAAGTGAAAACAAAAATTAGATAAGATTACCCCTCAAAGATCACATGGTCTGTAGAAAACTGCAATGGAATAATATGAATTTATGTGTATATACAAAAAGAACGAAACCAAAGGAGCAACCTTCTTTATATACAATTGAATTTATAGTTTAAAATCCAAAATTTTTATTAGTTACAATTTATTTTGGTTAACATTAGAGAGCCCCAACTAGAAAGATTTTTCGTGTAACGCTTCGAATTTCAAGCATTTTTTGGGGTGTTACACTTTGTTTAAAAATGAGTAATTTTGATACCTGTCTTTATTGTAAAGGAAGTGGTGGTGAAAATTCACTATATCTGCTACTTTATGTTGATGATATGCCATTGGCTAGTCATGACATAAAAGAAATAGAGTTAATTAAAATCAAATTGAAATCTGAATTTGAAATGNTTGGCTAGTCATGACATAAAAGAAATAGAGTTAATTAAAAAAATTGAAATCTGAATTTGAATGAAGAACTTAGGTCCTGTTAGGAATACTTTGGGTATTGAAATTAAAAGGAATAGAAGGGAAGGCACACTCCAATACAATGCAAAATAATAAGGAAAAAGATACAATAACAAATATATGATACAACCTCACTCCGTAACTGTAATCATATTTTGAAAACGCTACAAGATTGTCTCATTCTCATTTTTTTTACAATACAATACAATCCAAATTGCTCGCCTAGTAAGCCCTCGCGAGCGCTCAAGCGGCCGCCCAATATATATACTATATTTTTTTTCGACGGAGCCGGCACAAGCGATCACCCTAGTTCGTCGGGTGCTGGCCCAGCCCTTAAATGAATGACAATGAAGTCATTCAAGAATAGCCTATAATCATTTTGGTATACGAGTCCATAATTAAACGTGCTTCTTGTTTCAATGCCACAAATACCAAGAAGCATATCGCAAACTTGGGGGAAAGACTTCAGATCAATTTACAAGTATTCCCAAAATGAATTTACAGAATTCTCACCAGAAATAAATAGCCCTTATATGAACTTAGTAGT